ATAGTTGGGTCAAGGAATTTTCAGTTGTTTTCAACATTTATTTACGCTTATTTGAAATATTCAGATTAAGAATTCTATAAACTGTGTTAGGCCGTATTTTCGCTCAGTGTATGGCCCACTATTGTCTTAATTATGCGCTGCTGCTTCTGCTGCTGCTGCTCCGGCCTCTGCTGCTGCTGCTCAAGGCGTGACTATCTAACGCCAGACAGACACAGCCACAGCCGAAGCCGCAGCCGCTTGGCTTACTCATCGTCTCATCAGCTAGCCCCACCCCCCATCACCCATCCCCCATCCCGGATCCTCCCCTTGGCCAGCCCCTCGCTAAAGTACCCGAATTGTTGGCTCGCTTTTTGCCCGTTCCGCTCTCGTTGCCGTTGACGTTGCCGTTGACGTTGCCTTTGCCTTTGCCTTTGCCCGCTGAAGTGACCATCGACATCGTCCATCGTCCGTCGTCGTCCGTCGTCGTCCGTCGTCGTCGTCACCGTCGGTCGCCACTTGTTTATTTCTAAGTATTTGGCGCTCTCGCAAGATCACGCGCCGCAGCGATCGCTGATAAAATTGCTTTTTGGGGGCCCGCATATGGTACGTTTTGTCGAGAGGGGCCAGAGGGGCCAGGGGGGGCAAGAGGGGCCAGGCAGCTGGGGATGGGGGCGCAGTGCTCTGCGTCTAATCTGCGAGTGTTCTAATTTAGAGATGGGCGCAACGACACGAAATTCACAAATATTACGAATCTGCAATCGCTTTAACAAAAAAAAATTAAAAAACAAACCAACTCAAAGGCGAAATCTACATCGAATCTCATAGTTAATATGCTGGGTCAGAATAGCTACGTGAATATTTTACAGATCATATATATGTACATATATGTATTTTCACTTAAATACTATAGCATGCGATTATATGGGAAAGAAATCTGAAGAAGAAAATAATATAGATTATTTATAGTTTTTATATATATATAAGACTTTTCATTCTGATTGATTCCTGATCAAAGCAAACTTACGAATTCCATCTGTCGTGGTGAAAAATTGGTGGAAAATGGCTAAAAGCAACTATTTGTGTTAACTTTGATGAAAGTCGTGTTTCACACGTTTCGAAGAACTCACCGCGTTTAGTGAAAATGTAGGATTTCAGGAGGAACTATGGGCATAAGTATAATTTTGGACTGTTACGTTTTAGATTTAAGTTTACATGCAAAATTAACGAATGCCGGGCAAAGCCGGGTAATGCCTGCTGGTCTGGAATATAAGAATATTTATAAAGCAAATAAATATTAAGAGCTGATCAAGGAGAACATCAATATATATACACATATGTGGAATACTTGGGCACAAATCTCGAACCAAATCTAAAGATATAGAAACAGATCGGAGAGGCTGCAAGACGTAAAATAGAAGAATATATATATGAATAAAAGAATTGTATGTCTTGAGAGATAAGGAGGAATGGAGTTTTGAATATGAAATATGGTTAAGCAGACACGAACGAAGTTTCAGCTCACGAAGAGTCGCTCGGTTACCTCTGGAAGAGGCAGGTCTCGAAAATATATTAAACGTGGGCGCATCCGTCGACTCGTAATTATGTCCATTCGCGGTGCGCCGGGCATTGTTTGGACTGGAATAACTAATTGGCGTTGCGATCATGCGCTCGCACATGTCCAGCGCTGATTTATTTGGCAGTCTCGGGATCTGCTCAACGGCCGGCCGGCCGGCCGGTCACATGGCAACGGGGCCAAATAGGGCGCAGCGGAAACAAGTTGGGGCCTAATGCATTGTTTAAGGCATTTGCCAAATGCACGTGCCATTATATTTATGATCGCGTGTTGTTTGTTTGCTTTGCGTTGCCAACACTTTTCTAATGAAGGCAGCGCACAAACAAAACGCGCTAATTGATGCGGCAACGCGGCATCTGGAATTGCCGAACCCGAAGTCGAACCCAAATCGGCGACCAAAGCCTGATTTGGCGCTAAGTGGGAGGTAAATATTGCAATAACGAAATGGTGAACAATTTGCCCAACACTGTTAAAGACCTATGGAATGTGGAACAGTATGGCAAATGGAACAGTAAGACACGACAAGTGGAACAGCAGTTGGCCAAGAAAACCTAGTATATCAATATGAACAAGCTGTTGAGCCTGTGGCATATGGAACAATGGAATGTGGAACAGTGAAAATATAAACTTATCAAAAGCAAATTGACTTAAGAAAAGTTGAATACGAATCCATGCTATGTGAAACAGTGCTATTTGGAATGCTGGAATTGGAACACATCACTATGTCAAGCCAAGCATATTAAGGCGAAGTATAGCCATGTAACAACTTAATGCGCAACATATTAGATGGGGAACAGTGAAATTGCAGTTGGAATACTGGAATTGGAACACTACAATATGTCAAGCCAAACGTCAAAGCAAAATAAAGCCATGAAACAAGTTAACAATATAACTCACAATATATTAGATGTGGAACAATGGAATTGGAACACTACAATATGTCAAGCACAGCATGGTAACTAAAGTCAAGCCATCTAACAACTTAATGCACTTGGAGTTGGAATACTGGAATTGGAACACTACAATGTGTTAAAGTAAAGTAAGGCCCTGAAACAATCTTACAATAGAACACACATTATATTAGATTCAGAACAGTGGAATTGGAGATGGATTGCTGGAATTGGAACACTAAAATGTGTTAAGCCAAACATGTTAAAGCAAAGTAAAGCCATCTAACAACTAAATGCCCAATATATTAGACGCGGAACAATGAAATTGGAGATGGAATGCTGGAATTGGAACAGTACAATGTGACAAGCTAAACGTATCAAATCCAAGTAAAGCAGTGTAATCACTTAATGCAATATATATTTAATGCGAAACAATGGAATTGGAGTTGGAATGCTGGAATTGGAACAGCACAATGTGATAAGCTAAACGTGTCAAAGCAATGTTAAGCCATGTAGTTACTTAATGCAGTATATATTAAATGCGGAACAATGGAATTGAGACATATTAGTCCTGCTTCTCTGCCAAACGCCAGCCTATTGGCTCGCTTGACACTCAAGGATTTGGATTCCACAGCTGAGATGAAGCTAATCGGTAGACTCAGTCGCCACACTTGCCAGTTCCAATTCCAGTCGTTGCTGTGGCTGACTACGAGTAGTTGTAGACGTCGGATCGTGACAGAATATGAATTGAAAGGGAAACCAGATTATAGACACAGACATAGACGCGGAGAAGAAAAACATGCACATACACGGGCGGGCAATATGTTAACAGGTATTTAGCTAGGTAAATACCTTGACTAAGTTGTCGGGTATGTCTCCGGTCTGCGGGTGCACCTCGAGACATTCCATGAGAAAATGTTCTATAAGCGAATGCGACTATTTTTAGACACGTCGAGATGCATACACAGACGCAGATATAGTCGTATCTATATCTAAATCTAAATTTGCCTGGCAAACAGTCGAAAGTGAGCCTCGTGACGATGATGGATCATCGCGATGGCATCTCCAGCTAAACAAATGACGTCAGCAGCTGCACAAACTGCGGAATTCGGCTAAAGATCATGCGTTGCATCGTGAGTGTAATCGTAATACTGCCAACCAAAAATTCCGCCTAACCAAAAATATCCCAAAAATAAATAATGAAAAGTTTGTGCAAAAATAAAAACATATTTTTGCATTTACGCATAGTTACAATAATAAACAAGTGCGCCAGTGTGCCTGACTGCGAAATACCCTGTAAGGAGAAAATGCACAGCATATGTGTGCACAAAAGTCTGCTTGACTATGTAATACCCTGCAATGAAAAGAAGAATCAAATTCACAACTTATATGCAAGCTAAACTCAAAATTTACAGCCCTGCTATAGCCTTGTGCTTTGTTCAATAATCAAGCAAGGTTTTTCACACGTTTTCCACGAAGGAGCGTGAATACTTTTTAGTTGTCTACAAGTTATCGGTATTTAACTTAAACAAGTGTGTAAAAGAACTGTCACACAACTCATTTACATTTACAGCGCGTTATGCCAACCCTCGCACCACTTTTGCTACAGGGTATGCATGTTCAAATAGTTGCGCTTTGCTCCGATTTCAATGCAACAATATTTCGCACATTGCGCATACGCCGCGTGCGCCGATGCGCCAATGCGCGGCTGCCTGTCGTAGGTTAGTTCCGCCGACAGCAGCTCCAACGGGGGGCTAAGTGTACACAAACACACACACACACACACACACATACATACATATGCTTGTACATATGTATAAATATGTGTATGTTGGTATGCATGTACATATGCTGTTCACTGGAAAGTAGCGCACGCTTCAATAGGCAGCACAAAATCAATGGAAAGAGCGTCGTATGTGTGGGCGGAGGGGGGGGGGTCGACGTTGGGTGGGCTTGGTGGCATGCTGAATGCTGATTGCTGGGCGGGGCGGGCGCGCATTAGGTTAATAGATAGCGACAGGCAAAAGACAAAACAAACAATATAAAATACACGTTATAGCAGCGACAACAACAACAACAACAACAACAACAGAAATGAAATTAAAATCCACAATAAGCCAAAAAGCAACAACAACTAATCCAGCAAACGAAGTGCGCGTCGTGCATGTTGACAAAATACAACAAAAAAAAAACAAAAAAAAAAGCTAAAAAGCTAAAAAAAAAAAACCACACAGAACAACAAAAAAGCTCAACAACAACACGAAAGAACGTCAACGGCGACAGCGACAGCGACGTCAGCGTCAGTGTCAAGCAGAGCGCAGCTGTCGGCCGTTGTCTATTTGCCTATTTGCTATACAGTTGTATGCATGTGTGTGTGTGTGTGTGTGTGTGCGCGCGTTTGTCACATGTGAGAGAGCCGTCAACTAAGAGAGAGGCGCGACGCAGTGCGGCATCTATTCTATGCGACGGCTGCTTGTGCTGCTTTTGGTGCTGCTACTGCTGCTGCTGCTGCTGCCGGCGCGCGTCAGCGTCAATCGAACTTCAGTTTGTCCAAGATCGCGTCGACCGAACGAACGACGCTAGAAAAGACGCGCGCGCGCAAACGAGACGCGCAGGCGACAACAACAAAAACGAAAGACGAAAAACGCAGCGAATTCGAATGAAAAACAAAACAAAAAAACAAAAAAATCAAAACAAAAAGAAAAAAATATCAAACAATACGAAAACCGAAGACAGCCGATACGAGTGCACACACAAAAAATTGACAAATAAACGCGAACTGTTAACCGTTAAACGTTAACGGTAAAACGCAAGCGTCGTCCTGCAGCAGCAGCAGCCGCCGCAGCAGCAGAATAACGAAGCTTTTTTAACGAACGCGTATTTTCAATTGTTGTAGGTGACCAAAAAAAGAAGCGTTCGCAATGCGTGTGGGTGTGTGTGTGTGAAGGTAACACACACACACACGCACACACACATATGTACATATATATATGCACAGCTGCACTGCTCGCACTTGCAGCTACTTCTCATATAGCAATAGAAACTAAATTAAATTGGACATTGATAAATGTTAAATGCAATATACATAGATGATATATACGACATATGACGTGTGATATATGATGTATGGAACAATATCGTGTGATTGATGGCTAGACCAATCGATTTAGATGTGTATAACTGCCTCATAAGAACTAAATGAAGTGCACTTTAACACAAGAAACCGTAGACAAAGTGCAAGAGTCGCACTTCGAATACCCTATAACTGGAGAACTTTTATGAATGCTGAACAAGTAAAAAACAAACTGAAGGAAATTTATTTTAAAAGTTCAAAATCTATAAGTAACAACTTTTATTATATTGCCAAAATGAGAGTCTTTAAATGAAGTATTCCGGATTGGATCAAACAAATTTTCATAGATCAATATAAATTTCGATCTCTTGTTTATACAATAGCTATATTATCTGATGAGCAAATCCATTCGATATCGACTTGTGTATTAATTGTGTAAAAAAGATGCAGATATAGCAAAATTTCAGAAGATAACCCCACGTAGGACCGGGATCACAGTACTTCTCCTGGCAACCTTGTGAGAAATCTCACATTCTAGCACCTCTCGCATACTCCCCCTCTTTCGCTCTTACTGTCCCTTTAGTATACCCTTTTGCTGTCATTTATGGGCAGAGGGTATTTACAGTGCCAATTAAAAGCATGTGGAATGAATTGGATAGCTATTCAAAATTCCCATAAATCAAAGTGGATTCGATGGGATTGAGCGAAATATTAAGTGTAATATTATTCAGGCACATTCTCGACTAATTTCAGGCAAACTGATCAAGTTATTAACTCGAGGAATGCGGCGGAAACAGAACCCAGCCCCAGAACCAGAACCAGGCACCGACACTTAGCCAAGACACACACCCAAAAAGAACAAAAAAAGCGGCAATTACCTGGCAATGAAGTCGGCTTTTATTACTATGTTTAGAGGCTGAACGAAGGGTGACCCACAAAAAAAAAAAAACATAAAAAAAGCGAAAACAAATCAGAAATCAATCGATCGGGGGCTTGGGTTGGGGGCCTGTAGATGCCTTGCTAAAAAAAAAATACCGACGAAAAGAAAGAGAAAAAAATAACAAAAACGAAAAACAATTTTACAATTTACAATTCAATGGCTGCTCGAGCCGTATCGTTTCCGATCGATTGCGAATCGGAATCGGATCGTATCGCAGCGCGGCGTGCATTAGCAATTGGTGTGACTTACAGCATGGCGATTGCAGTGCACCATCGGGGCGTGCCACTGCCAAGGGGTTGGCCCATGGGGGGGGGCGCCGGCGGTACGCAGGGGTAGGGCACTGGGTGCTGAGGTACTTGGCGCTGGGTGCTGAGTGCTGGGTACTTGGTACTGGGAGCTGGGAGCTGGCATTAAATAAGCACATAAATTGCTGGCGCTGATGACGCATTTTTTTTTTGTACATACACATTCTTTAGGTATTTCGCTATGGTTGTTGCTTTTGCTGTTGTGTGTGTGTGTGCTTTTTAATGCGCTACATGGGTTGAGCATTTCCGTTGTGAAGCTGCGTTTGGCGCCGTTTCAAGCGGCGCGTGAAAGAGTCAACTTTGAACACAAAAAGGATAAAACGCTTTGCAAGGGAGCGACAGAGAGAGAAAGAGCAAGAGAAGGAGAATTAGAAAGAGAAGGTGACAGAGAGAGAGAGAGAGAGAGAGAAAGAGAGAGAGGGGTATAGAGAGAGAGAGAGAGAGAGAGAGAGAGAGAGAGAGAGAGAGAGAGATAGAAAGAGGAAGAGAGGGAGAAATAGAGAGAGAAGCTTCAATCTCCGTGAAGAGTTGCATAGGTACGTCTTTTTCCTTATTTCCCCTTCTCAATATAACGAACGTCTTGAATCCTTCCAATAGGAACTTTCCACAAGTAAAATTCTAGCATATAAGCAATATATATTAAAAAGTGGACTTCTATTTCCCCTAGAGAAAATCGACGAACATTGAGCATTCAAATCAAATACAAAAGTTTCTTATAATCTATATTTCTGTAATATGTTCGCGAAAAGGGTATTCAATTATCGATATGCCCTACAAAAAACAAAACCATCTAGTTGCCTTGCTGTGAAAGATATAGAACTTTGTGATAACAAATGCCAAAACATATCGAAGAGGTGCAGACTTGAATAGAGCTGAAGTCCAGCTTTAAGAGCAAGGCAAAAGATGACCGATTTTTATGGGAAAGCGAGAGAAAGAGAGAGAGAGAGAGAGCGGGGTGGCTTCCATATATTTGCCCGATTCAATCAGACCGACTACGCTGCAATTACATATGAATGAGTCTCAACACACACTCGCACACAGTTCGATAAATGGCGATCGATCAATTGCGTGATCGATCAATTGGTCGATCAGTCGGCAACGCGATTCACTCACCGGGTTACCAGCTTTGCGGCTCTTGTCAGCCAGTTGTCAACTGGCAGTTGCCAGTTTCTCGCCGAGTTATGAATATTCATACGAGACGCGAGTCTGATTTAAACTTTCCCAACTTTTTTTTAATTGCTTTCAAGCGATCTAAAACGCTAAATACATGACGTATACTTAATATTGGCTGAGTCGACTGTGAAAGCAAGAGGCGCGAGCAGAGATCAGCACAGTCAGCTATTAAAACGAAAATCTAAAGTCTACGCTGGCGTGGCTGGCAGGGGGGGGGGGGGGGGGAAGAACAAATTGCTTTGAAGCACCTCAAAATGCCAAGGCTACAAAATGTGTAGAAGAAAACGTCATCGAAATGTTGAAGCTTTCAGTTTTAGCTCTGATCACAGGAGTTCCGAAAACAGCCAAGGGAGACTTAAAATGGGCTCACTTAATCAAACTTGCAGCTTAGCTAAAGCCAAAGCTTTAAGTCGTCAATGACTTGTTTCAATCAAGCTTTAAACTACTCAAAACAGCTTTTGGGCAAGATAAAGGGGCGGAGAGGGGAGGGGGGAGCACATTGTTAATACCCATTAGCCGCTTTCTCTGCATGATTAATCCCATGATGGATATTGCCGTGCGCCGTGCGCCGTAGCTAATAAAACAAAACAAAACACAATAAACAATTCAAAATAAACGATAAACGATTTCATATGGTTTCAATCTGAAAACAGATGTTTGTGCGGTGCAGTGGCTTTTGCCATTTGCCATTTAAATCAGGCACAATTTTTTGTGATTTACTTTGATTGGCATCTAATTTATGATTGACAGTTACAAACGTTGCGTCGAGCCGACCAGCCAAACGGCCAAACAACAGCAACAAACACAACAACAACAACATCGTTTGAGCCTACCGCAAATGCGGATACAGATACACAGACAGCGGCAGATACAGATACAGATACAGATGCATATACAGATGAATGAATACAGATACATTTATTGGTTTGATAGTTTTGATAGGGAAATAGAAAGGCTTGAGAGGGGATAAGCAAACGGTAAGCCAAATGGAAATAAATACAGATACAAATGTGAATATATTTATAAGACTGACTGTAGGTTTGAAGGGGAAGATCACGGTGGAAAATACAGATGGATACAGATACAGATACAGATACAGATACAGATACAGATACAGATACAGATACAGATACAGATACAGATACAGATACAGATACAGATACAGATACAGATACAGATACAGATACAGATACAGATACAGATACAGATACAGATACAGATACAGATACAGATACAGATACAGATACAGATACAGATACAGATACAGATACAGATACAGATACAGATACAGATACAGATACAGATACAGATACAGATACAGATACAGATACAGATACAGATACAGATACAGATACAGATACAGATACAGATACAGATACAGATACAGATACAGATACAGATACAGATACAGATACAGATACAGATACAGATACAGATACAGATACAGATACAGATACAGATACAGATACAGATACAGATACAGATACAGATACAGATACAGATACAGATACAGATACAGATACAGATACAGATACAGATACAGATACAGATACAGATACAGATACAGATACAGATACAGATACAGATACAGATACAGATACAGATACAGATACAGATACAGATACAGATACAGATACAGATACAGATACAGATACAGATACAGATACAGATACAGATACAGATACAGATACAGATACAGATACAGATACAGATACAGATACAGATACAGATACAGATACAGATACAGATACAGATACAGATACAGATACAGATACAGATACAGATACAGATACAGATACAGATACAGATACAGATACAGATACAGATACAGATACAGATACAGATACAGATACAGATACAGATACAGATACAGATACAGATACAGATACAGATACAGATACAGATACAGATACAGATACAGATACAGATACAGATACAGATACAGATACAGATACAGATACAGATACAGATACAGCTTAAAGTAGAAGAAGAGTGAGAGGGAGAGCGAGAACGGGCGAGAGGGGCAACTCGCGTCTTGATTTACCTAGTTTGTTACCTGATTTTGATGCCTGCGGTTGCCGTCGCCTGACAACATTGTCAAAAACTAAACACACGCTGCCAGCTACCGTGCCAAATGGCTAGTAGCAGCCCCCACCCCCCTCCCCCTAATCCCCCTAAGCCCCACACAAACCCCAAGCCCCAGTCGGCACTCTCGGATTACGCGTCGTATGCGCAATGCCAGCCGCAGCTCTTTCGAGTCTTCTTCTAGTTTCCGTGCTTATCAGTCAACCCAATTAAGCGCCCGCCGAACAATTACATGAGCCCATCAACCCCCGTATATAGCGATGATATAATACCCGATCGCCCGATCGCCCGATCGCGCGATCGTACGATCCGATCG